CAAACCCTGACCTCCTGGCTCATAGGTTGATGCTTAACCACTGAGCCATACTGGCCAGGCTGTTGGAGGTTTTTAATTACAGATTCAGTCTCCTTACTGATTTATTCAGATTTTGTATTTCATGATTCAGTCTTGGTAGGTTGTATGTTTCTATAAATTTCTCCATTTCTTCTAGATTGTCCAATTTGTTGGGATATAATTGTTTATAGTATACTCTTATGACACTTTGTATTCCTGTGGTATCACTTGTAACATCTCCTCTTCCATTTTTTATTTTGACTTCCCCTTATGAATGTGTTGAGAAATTTTGGGGACAGACACACGAGTAGAATTGCTGTTTTATGGGATATGTGTGAACTTAATATGACCAAGTAGTACCTGGTTTCTCCCTCAACAGCTGCCCTAGCTATACCCTAACTGGTAGTGCCTCTAAATTCCCGCATCAGTGTCAACACTTGGCATTATCCAGCTTCTTCATTTTTGCCAGTCATAACTATGTAGAGTGATAGCTCTTTCTGGATTCAATTTGTGTTTTTCAGATTATTTGAGTTTGGGCATCACTTCATTTTCTTGTTAGTCTTTGGGTTTCTGCTTTTATAATCCACCTGCGATGGCCCATTACTATACTAAGGCTCTTTTTTCCACCTTGATGATTTACAAAAGTTCCTCATATCTCTTAGGCCCCTTCTCAAACTGCACAGGGCTCTTTAATGCTATAGTTGCTCATCTGGGGCAAAGGAAGCGATCTGACCACTGACTCCTCACACCTTCATCCTGGGGGTCGGGGCTTGGTAATGGCCATACATCCAGTCAAAGTAAAAGGAGCCCTTTCCTCCCATACCCTCTGCCAGGCTTGCCTGAGGCTTGTTGTCCAGGAAGACAGGTAACAAGGAAAAAAACTCTTTTTCTTTCCCGGTGCTGCTAACCTACTGTGTCAATTTCATGAGCTAATAAATGATTGGAGAAGGTTTAATTGCATCAGAAGAAATTGAGATCAGCCAGAGCTTATGCCCCACTCAATTAACCTCTGCTCCTAAGGGGGCCGGGCAGGGAGCAGGGGACGGCCATCATTAATTACATGTGCTGGTGCCAGCTGCGGCTGGCGTTTCCTTCCTGTGTTCACCCAGGCAGTGAGGTAGGTGACCCTGCCTCAGCGCAATGAAGTCACTGAGGGCAGGGACCCTTCAGAGAGAGCACAGACCCCGGCCTGCAGAGAGTGGGAAACCTACTTCCCAACACATTCTTTCAGGGCTTTTAATGTGCCCCAGCCTCCACTAGAAGAATGGCCTCTAAGGTCCTGTCCTGACCTCTTTATTGGCTCCATCCCTCACAGGGTCCCATGTACCTTTGGTTCTCTTCCCTTCTCCTGCTACTTTCTGGCCAGTTCACCCCAAGGACGCAGAATCCAGTGCCAGTCTTGTTATGGGCTGCAGGCTCTGCAAGGTCACCCACCATCCCTGGGCCTCCAGCCTGAAATCCTCCCAGAGACCTTTATCCCTGCACCGTTCCCCAAAGGACCAGATAGATGGTAATCCTCAGCCCTGTTATAAGCACAGATTCTGGGGCCCCTGCCTGGAGATGCTATTTTATGAAGTCTGGAGTCTCTGTTTTTTTAGCACATGGCTCAGGTGATTCTTACCATCAGCCAGTTTGAGAAACCCTACTCTAGGGGACACCTTAGTTCCTGGCGAAATACATGCAGATCTTCTGGAAGGAGAGCAGCATCCTTAACGGCAGGGCTCTGGCTTTGCTCCCAGTGTCTGTCCCGCTCTGTCTCTATCTTGCTGTGTGTGATTAAGCAAGTCACCTGTGCTCTCTGAGCTTGGTTTCTTCATCTAGAAAATAAAAATATTGATCCAGACCTAGCTGGTTTGGCTCAGTGGACAGAGCGTCAGCCTGCGGACTGAAGGGTCCCAGGTTCGATTCCAGCCAAGGGCACATGCCTGGGTTGCAGGCTCGATCCCCAGTTGGGGGGGCATGCAGGAGGCAATCAATCAATGATTTCTCTCATCATTGATGTTTCTATCTCTCTCTTCCTCTCCCTTCCTCTCTGAAATCAATAAAAATATATATTTTTTAAAAATATTGATCCAGTTCTCTTAGAGTTTTCCCATTTCTGTGGATCATTTTTCTGTAAGTAACTGGCATGTTAAGCAAGCATATTGCATGGTTTGTCCTCAAAAAGCAACTTTGATTTGTTTTCTTCAAGCATCCTTTTATTTTTTAAAATATATTTTTATTTATTTCAGAGAGAAAGGGGGAGAGAGAGAGAGAAACATCAATGATGAAAGAGAATCATTAATCAGCTTCCTCCTGCATGCCCCACACTGGGGATCGAGCCCACAACCTGGGCATATGCCCTGACCAGGAATCTGACTGTGACCTCCTGGTTCATAGGTCGACGCTCAACCACTGAACCATGCTGGCCAGGCCATCGCTTTACTGGGAGAAATCTTCCCCTGCCCTGAGATAAAAACTTGGGCCAATCTCATTGCTTTTTCATCCACTCTTATAGTCTTACTAGAGGCCCAGTGCATGGATGTGTGCATCCGTGGGGTCCCTCGGCCTGGCCTGTGCCCTCTCGCAATCCGGGACCCCTTGGGGGATGTTAAATAGCCGGTTTCAGCCCAATACCTGCAGGCCCAATTCAGATAGGAGGGGCCCGATCCTATGCGTTGAGCATCTTTCCCCTGGTGGTCAGTGTGCATCATAGCAACCAGTAGTTCGGTAGCTTAGGCTTTTATATATATAGATAGGCACTCCAAGTTACAGATGCCATCTCAACTCAGAAATTATATCAAAATGAGTAGTAATCAAAGCATTCCTAATCTGCTCTAGCTGGTTTGGTTCAGTGGATAGAGCGTCGGCCTGCAGACTGAAGGGTCCCAGGTTTGATTCTGGTCAAGGGCACATACCTGGGTTGCGGGCTTGATCCCCATAAGGGGGCGTGCAAGAGGCTGCCAATCAATAATTCT